GGTTTTTGGTCCGTGAGTTCTCGGTTCCAAAGGGAAATTTTTTTATTTTTAAGTGTATTTTATTCCAAATACTTATATATTTTATTACAAATACTTATATAAAAACATCATGCATAGAATTTAAATTATATTTAACCATTATGATCATAACCAAATCAACATAACTCGAAATTTTATTTAAAAGGTTTGACTTTTATTGACCTGAAAAATAGCGGGTTGCTACACATAAGATGCTCTAAACCGTAAGGTTTCCAACTTTATGGTCTGGCGTGGCCATTAAGTCCTTAACACCAAAACCCCTAGTCTCTTAACCCATTAAGACCATCTAGCACTTGCATGGAGGGAAACTAGTGACCATGAACCCAACTATATGACTCAACCCCCCCTTAAAACCTCTTAAAGGACAACTCAAATGCCTTGGAGTACCTTTTACTCACAAAGTCTATGTTTAGGACAAAAAAGGAAACAACTTGAGTGAAACACCACCACTTTGATGCCATGTAATCATTTATGATTATAACAGGACTGTCGCGTAGGTACACCGGAGGGTTAGAATGTTAGTTGTGAAATATATGACTAATAATAAATCTCAAGATCTTTATTTTATTTTTAATCTCAACAGAACATACCTCTCTCTCTCTCTCTCTCTCTCTCTATATATATATATATATATATATATATATATATATAGGTATGTTATTTTCAAAACACTAAAAAAGTTAAGAACGCGAAAATGTTATAAATATTTAGATCAATGTCAATAAATAAACAGGTTATTTATGTAAATTATAAAATTTGTAGGATAAATACGTAACTTTTAAATTGAATTAAGGGCATAATAGTCATACCAAATACTTGAAATAGTTAACGTTTTACAACAGTTTAGCTAGTAATTAAATCCCTATTTAATCGACCTATCTAAAAAATCCTCAAACCCTAAATTATAAGTTTTGAGTTTTCCGCCATCGTCGTTGTATTTTATTTTATTTTTTTTATTTTTTATTTTTTATTTTTTTTGTTCATATTTTTGATGTGTGTCCAGGTATTCTTAGTAGAATAAATTGCAGCCCCATAAATCAATATCAAGGCTCTTAAAAGAATTAGATGAAGACTAGCTGAACTGGTTTTTGTGTCTCTTTGTTCACATGCTTTTTCAATTACTATTACAATTTCTTCAATTTGATTTATTTGGTTTTATTATATTTTTGTGATGATAACTCTTGTAACCCTATGGATACATACTTTATTAATAAATTTAAGAATAACCAGTCAATAGGTATGCATCGAAGCCTTCACTAAAAAAAGAGATGTGGGGTGGTGAATCAAAACTAGTAAATAGTTTTTGTTTAAATAGGTTTCAATGGGATTTTTGATATTCTCATTTTTTATTATTAACAATAGTTTTATTATGTGTTCGGGTACAAAATGAAATATGGGCATACATATGTGTGCAACGCAAATGATTCATTTATGAATATTTTGTTTGAATCGATTGAGATTTGAAGTATTTTTGAATTTTGTAATGAATGATGGTTCTTGTATTGTTTTTTTTCTATGTTATATTTATGTATTCATTTATGGTTAAAAACTTAATTGATTTTTTTTTTCATCTATACATTGTCCTATATTCATTTATGCTTAAAATATTTTTTCTATATCTACATAGTATATTTATTTAATTATGATTACAAATGCAATAAAACAAATAGAATACAAGATCCCGATTTTGAAGTGATTTATAAATTGCATTTAATTCATTTACGATTACAAATATTTTTTTTATCTCTGCCTTGTGTTTAATTCATTTATGATTGCAAATTTATGACAACATATGGTTTTATCATATTCATTTATGTATTTGTAGTTGAATTTAATTATCAATGGATTAAATTCATTTATGAATACAAGATCCAAATTTTGAAGTAATTTATAAAAAGTACTTAATTCATTTACGATTACAAATACAAAATTTATATCTTGTGTTTAATTCATTTATGATCGCAAATTTTTGACAACGTATAATCTTATCATATTCATTTATGTATATGACGTTGACTTCAATTATCAATGAATTAAAATCTCATTGTCATATTTATGTTATATATACCGTGAATTTGATAAAAAAAATTCAAATTAGATATTCATTAATAAATACAACAAAATTATGGAATAAAATTTTGTTTTGTGGATATATTAAAAAATCAAGAGACTTATTTATTTATAACATGATTTGAATTTAAGAAACAAAACAAAACAAATAGTGGATTCTAGTTTTTAGAAAAAAATATTTCAATTTAATTGTTTTTATATTAATGGGAAATGTATATGAATAAAACGTTACTATTTTTAGAAAAAAATTGATTGCAGCATGATCTCTTAATCATAGGAAAATGTCATTTATTTAAGTTAACTTTTTCTTTATTGTAAATATAAATTACCTATAATATCCCTTTAAAAATGATTGGTTAATAATCATTGTTGCTCTCAACCTTTTTATGTTGTCAGCATAATATATATATATATATATGGGTCGGGATCCCGTGTGAACTGCGTGGATTATTCTCCACTAATCATTTATCAATGGCGTCCGGATCCTGTAGGAACCGCGTGGATCATTCTCCACCAATCATTTATCAATGGGGTTCGGATCTCGTAGGAACCACGTTGATTATTCTCCACCAATCATTTATCAAAGACACAAATGTCAAACACATTTACTTGGTCGTGGCGCGTTCGTACGCGACGCACGTGTATCGAACGTAATAAGAAGTCAAGTGAATAATCTTGTGCAACAAACATCCATGAAATGTTATTTAAATGGGGTTTCCTTTTCTTTTTCATTTATTTTATTTATTTTTGTTTTTTTATTATTTTTTATTTTTGTTAAAAAAATCATTATTTTAAATAGATATATGCTCGGTTTTAGTGTTTATATTTTTTTCGTTATTTATTTACATTTTGTCATCGGATTTTTTAACATGTATCCTAAAGACACTCATAAGAAACATTAATTAAACTATTAATTATGGAGAATATTACCATAATTAAATGTGAAATTCATTAAATATAGAAAATATTCTTCATAATTAATGCGATTCACATTTAATTATAGTAATATTTTCCATCGTATATTTTTGGATAATAATATAGTGAAGTAAATATAGTTATTGTTCAATACAATATTTAAATTATTATATTTTTTGAATTATTTAATTTTGAATCATAAAATTTTTGATATTTAAGTATCATCGATTATTTAAATCAAAGTATTTTTAGATCCCAAAAAGTTAAAGATCTTAATTAAACATGTTGCATCATAATATATTTAAATCATAAATATTTTGAATGGTGTCTATTTGGATCATATCAGGTTCAACATTTTTTATAAAACTTTTAATCTTTTAAAATAAAGTTTGGTATTTAAAACACCTTATTTTTAAAAAAATAATTTACAAAGACATTAGAATAGTGAGTAGAAGTATTTCTCAAACATTTATGGTTTTTGGAGAATTTTTTTTTCTGGGTTTTTTTTATAAATATAAAAATAAAAACAAAAAAATTCAAAATTTCATGATTGTGCTCATTTTATAGAGAATTAAATTTTAAGAATTTCGGTTTTTTCAGATTTTTTTTTCCAATGAAAAAAAAAAATTATTGCTGAAAAAACTAAACGGATAGAAAAAATCCAGTCATCAATAAGGGATGAACACTTGTCATGTTGAGGATGAAGGCACTCTTAACTCCAAGAGAGGCCATATGGTGCAATTTTTCTTTTTTTCTTTCAATTTCTTTTTTACTTTTGTGACTTGTACTCTTTAAATAATAAACATTTTTCGAAAATTATCAAAATATCGCAATATGAAAATGTCATATAATTTCATTAGATTTTAATGATAAATAAATAAAATTTTGGCCATTTTTTTTTCAATCTTACGCTCAAAAATTGTCCTGAACCATTCCTACCATTTTGAAGTTTTTACTTGATCTTTTATATATATATATATATATATATATATATATATATATATATATATATATATATATATATATATATATATATACACACACACACAGAGAGACCAGTGTTTAAAAAACAAGTTTCAACCAGCCGGTTGAACCAGTTCGACCGGAAATCGGGGGAGGAAGCAGTTTAATTATCAACGTTTTATTTCGATTTTTGAACCAGATTGAACCAGCCGGTTTTAAGAAAAACTCTGTTGAACCATTAAAAATAAACCAATTGAACCGATTATACCAAATAAAGGCACATAGAAAAGAACCATTTGTATAATCAAATTTGCTGATTTTTTTAATATATTAAGTTTTCTTTAAATAAAAATATATAATAAATATCATAAAGTTTTTTGATATGTTTTTTTTCATGTAACATACATTTTGTTTTGGTATTATATTTTATTTTATTTCTTACGTACATGGATGAATGTAAAATACTAGAACTTATGGTTATATATTATTTTAATGTATTTGGATCCATCTACAATTTATTTTTATATATATTTTCAATGTTTGAACTTGTAAACGTCAATTTCATAATTTATATATGTATGATTGTTTACAAAAATAAGAAAAAAGATGAAAATTATAAAAACAATTGACCCGACGGTCGAACAAATCAACATACCGGTTTAACTAAAAACGAGAACATTGACAATGACCTTGTGTTTTATTCCAACATAACCTTAAATAGCGTCCCCATTTACATCTTTAAAATGGTCAAAACAATACATATATACAACAAACGATCCAACTTTCAGTCCAACTCGGCATGCCTAAGCGTGTGACAATAAAAAAAAGTAAACAAAAGAATAAAAAAAATATACATAAAGAATATCAAGATCACCAGAAACGATCAACGAAAGAAAGAACACCCATAAAACAAACCGAAAAATGAAGTTGTTTGGGTTTTCAAGGACGAGTCATAGAAGCTGATTTACTTCAAAACTCAATCCGATTCTTGATTTCTATATGCTGTTGATTGTTTATCGATTCGCCTTGGCTTTTTTTATATACTGTCTCTTTGTGATCTTCGTCCCCTGCTTTGATTTATCTAATGAGTCGATAATCATGGGCACCCAATACCAACCAAGAGAAGTGCATAAGATCGCAAAAGACCGACCAGTAAACATTAATAATACTAAGATCAAGATCAGAAACAATGGGAAATAATAGGAAGGTTTCCACCCCATTCCGAGCTTTCTTATCCATGGATCAAACATAATCTTCTTCTTAGGATCACCAATCAATGTTTTTACTATTTTACCTTCTTCAGATTCATTACCATCATTATGCTCTTTAACAAAAGCATCATCTTTTTGATGTTCCCTTTCTGGAGTATTCTCTAATGAGCTCGTGTCATCTTGTTTTCTTTTACCGCGTAACTTGACCACAATAGGTTTAACTTCGTCGGGGCTTCTGTAAACGAACTTAACCATGGAGACATCTTCTGACCCTTTCTGTGTCAAAATCTCCTGTCTTTTGTGAGCAAGATCAGCTAAAAGTGCCTCAAATGTGTCAAGTCCACGATCTGCGTATGGGTTTGTTGGGTTTTTACTTCTTCGGCTGCCTCGGAAAACGAGTCCTCTTTTAGTTGGTTTTCTTGGAGATGTGGAAGGAAATGGCCAAAGCACATCGTAATCATCTTCTTCTTGGGTATGGGGAGAACCACAAATGAAAGCCATACTTGACCTTGTTATGGGAGCTTTTAATTCTTGTGTAATGCGTGTTTTTGTGAATTATGAGAATCAAAGTGGTTGGGTGAGGAGTTGAGAATGTATATGAAGGGGTTGTCGTGAAGACTAAATCCAACTGCAAGAATAGTCAAAGAAGAAAGCTTTGACTTCTAAGGTTGAAGGAGAAGCTTTGCTGAACCTTCTAAAACTAAAAAAAAATGTAGTTGGAATAATTCTTCGAACTTATCAAATACAAATAGAAAATTATACTTTCTTAGCCCATATGATATATTGGTCTTATTACTTAAATCCTAGTTAAATTCAAATATAGTCCACAATCATTGTTTTTTCACAAAAACTTCTTATCTTAGTATTATCTGACAAAAACATATTCTTATAAGTATTATTCGATTATTAACCATTTTCTATTTTTCTAAAATTAATTTGTTAATCCTCCTTTTTATAAAGTACTTTATAAAGGCTGTTATTCAAAGGGGGATAATTTCACAGAAGTTCAACAAACAAAGTCTTCGGTATAAAAATAGTCCCTATTTCAAATACGTAAGGGTTGGTTAGTTGACATCTAGTTGTCATTGAGTTCTTGAATCGACTGACTATAAGGATATTACAGATGTCAATCAGGTGGTACACTGGAAGAGTTCATCCAGTTCATCCGGATGCGAAGAGTTCATGATTGCAAATAGAGGAGTTTCAATGAAGTAACACGTCAAAATGTCGCAGATCTTTCGTTCGAGGTATGAAAATATTTTTCCAATGTACCTCTTTTTAGTAGGTAACACTTTATGCCTTTAAAATATTAAAAAAAAAAAAAAAAAAAAAAAAAAAAAAAAAACTCTGATGACATTTTAAACCAGAATTGTAGAATCTGTTGGGTTAAATTGACATTATTATTTTTTTTTTTTTTTTAAAGAGAATGTATTTTTTTTAAAAAAATAATGTTTAACAATAAAATTTATGATTTCAAGATATGAAAAGGATAATTATGTCTGATTGTTATAAAAAAAAAACAAAAGATAATAAAATAATTATTATATATATGGATATAAAAAATACTACATGACCATAAGAAATTTGTTTGTAATATAAGAGTTAAAATGAAATGCAATAATTATTACCATAAGAGAAAATTGTATAAATGGTCCATGTCGTTTGCAAAAACTTTAGGTTTGATATAAAAAATCATGGACTTGCACAAATGGTCCAATGCAAACACATATACCATACACAATCATTAAATTTAAGACCCATCCACATCTCTCGAATCTCTAAATATGCAAGCAAATTTCATTCAAGAATACCCAATACCCACAATCAAATAGATGAAAATGATTATTTTCAAGAACATGGAAACATTAGGTGAAGATGATAATGGTGGTAGTGGTGTTGTGGTAGTGGGAACATTAGATGTTGGAGTTACGCGATCAAGATGTTAGGGATTTAAAGATATTGACCCATGATGTGTAGATGTAAAACCCGACTTTTTAACAAATGGTACATCCAAAAGATTCACTTTTTAATACATAAATCGCCTTGGTGTATACTTTAATTAACAAGCTAATATGAGTAGTTATCAAAAGGATCACAATAAAGACATAAAATAAAATGATCTGAGCTAGGCATTAGTGCCTCTCTTCTATAATTCATTGCTTCTTTAATGAGTTTACTTGAAAGGCATACAACAACGAGTTTTTGACACTGTAGCCCAACAATGTTTGGTCAATTTGTACATTTAGCCACTAATTTTTTATTTTTTATTTTTTATTTTTTTTTTTATTTTTTTTTTTTGTGCTCAATTGATCCTTAATGTTAGTAACTACCGTCTAATTACCCACTTATGCACCCGGTAAATGGAACAACCGGTGATATTGCTTACGTGGAATAAGTTTACATTATATATGTCTTTATTTTATACATGTAGGATTTAGAGGTCAAAATAAACACATTTATTTAGCCAGAACACTCCTTCTTCGTTCTTTCTTTTTATCATCTTACAGTGAATACGAAGCACTAAACCTAAGGTTCGAAGTTGTTTTCTCCGATCAAAGTCAATGAGCAGTTAACCAACCCACAATGTCTAGCTCGACGCCAAACCCTGATGGACTCCACCCTATAGTGGAGCTAAACTTCAAAGGTGTTTTTCCTAGAAATCCTTTCTCGTATAACCATGGTATCATTTTCACTTTCAATGATCACGATTTTTCTGGAATGATATACGGTGAATGTATCACCTTTCTAGAACGGTTCATGCAAGAAAATATAAAGAAGTTATACTATTGTGAACCAGGTAAGCCCTTAATATCTGGGATAATTGCTATCGCTAATGATGAAGACTATGGTGGTTTCATTTTTCAAGCATATGGGACAGATGGTAAAATTTGCATGTATGTGGACCATGATGGTCAAGGAATAGAAGATTGGTTTGGTTTTGAAATAGAAGAGGAGGATGGAGATGATTCTTGCATTGATGGTGGTGAGAATGAGGACGAAATTGATAACCAAACAGATGTGGATGTCGACTTTAATGAGGACATAGTCACTATGAATAGGACAAAGGGTAATGAATTTCTAAATAGATTATGTGGTGAAAAGGAAGAGGGAAATGATAACAACATATATGATGATGATGGGAATAAAGAGGATGCCAATGTAACTCAACAACATTCCATTTTTAATGAGTTACTTCCATGGAAAAAGTAGATCCCAATACTTGGTATGAGGTTCAAAGATCCATCTCAATTAAAGTCAATGTTATGCAACTATGCTATTGCGAATGGGTACCAAATTTGCATTAAGAAAAATGATAGGAAAATATTGTTGGTTAAGTGTTGCAAGGGTGAGTACATATTCAGGTTGTGGGCATCTTGGATGAGTGATGAATCAAGCTTCCAAATTAAGTCCTTAAAGCCAGTCAAAAAATGTGCAAGGAACTACAAGTTAGGGTCCATGGTCACTTATGCTTGGATGGGGAGTCATTATACAAGAGAGATCTTACTTATACAAAAGATGAGCGTTAGAAAGCTAAGAACAACTGTGTCACAGAAGTTTGGTATTCATGTTAGTATTGGTCAATGCAGGAGAGCTAAGAAATATGCACTCCAAGTAATAGATGGTACCCTAGTTGAACATTATGCAAAGTTATTGTCGTATGCAGAAGAGATTAGGAGATTAAATCCAGTTAGCACTATGAAGCTTGATGTAAATTATATGCCAGATGGGAAGAACTACTATAGTAAGTTCTATGTTTGCTTTGATGCATTAAAGAAGTGTCACACCCCAAAACCTGAACGGCGGAATTGTTCGGGGGTGGAGGACGTCATGTACAATATCACAACAATGAATAGTAGTAACAAAAGCAACAACATCATCCATTGCATTAATAATATAATTTCATACATATGTGTTCTGTCAAGGTTATAGACACTAAAAATATTCATATCAAAATAAAAGATGTTTCTTGAACGAACTCCATCTTTTCAAAAGCCTGTCACCTGTACCTGTCTAGTGGTGACCTGAGAATACAAGTTATTTTGAAAGTGAGTATCAGCTTAATGCTGGTAAGATCATAAGTATATTAGTGTCTGTGTTTGTATGAAAGCATTTGTAAGATGTTTGTAAGATGTAATGTATAAGTTTTGTAAAGTTTGTATTTCTTTGAACTCTCCTAGAAAACCCTATGTTTTCTACTAACTGTAGCCTTCTACCAAGGCATCTAGTATATGTGTGTGTGTCTCATGTAAGAGTGTGTATTTTCCCAATCCGACTATCATTAATCAAAAATATAGTTTTTACATTACCATGCATCGTATGCATGTTCACGAAGTGAATGTAATGGGAAAATATCATAGTATTGTAGTGTCGTATTAAGTAACTACTACTGTACCAGCTACCTTAAGCAATTGTAAATTTTAAAGGAAACATGTGATCGGCCTGTATCTTGCTACTGACTCAATAGTAAAATGACAATGAAAGATGCCGTAAAAATGATGTTTGGTACTCGTAGACTTGCAAGTCCCACTATAGTGAGCAACAAGGGGTAGGATAGTCAATCAAGTATAGATCTATACACAAAATTATGTTTGGTACTCTTTTTAAATTTCTAATAATGTTTCATATTGGTCAATCATGGTGTAGATGAAACACTCAATGAGGATGATGAAGTTAATCAAGCTAATGCAATGAATGAAGGTGATGAAGTGAATGAGGGTGATCAAGCAACAAATGATGATGGAGGAGCAATAAATAATGGTGGAGAAGCAGCCAATGAGGTGCATGTGCAGCAAGACTATGATGAGGTGGAACTCACTCCTTTGGAGTTTGATTCATCAGTAAACGGAGAACCTAGTTAGGTTCATGTGCAAGAACAGGAGGCTAGAGAAACACCACTTCTAACCCCGTTGAAGAAAATCAGGAGGAAGAAATCTGAAAGGATTATCAAGTTGAAGCTGGGCAAGAAAGTTAGTGGTGCAGGTGCACTTGAGAATTCAGAAGCAAAACCTATTACTCCTAAGACCACAATCAAACAAGAACATGAGGCAGGGTAGACCAGCAGTCCTAAGTCCTTTCAACCTACTTATATAACTATATCTGTACAGATACACAAAATAAAAGTTCAAAAGAGTTTAAGTAAAAGTATTTGATAATTAAAGGAGTTTGTAAGACAATTTGAGGTAAAACAGTTTGATAAATAGTTTGAAAAGTAAGAAAACCATTTGCTTGGTAGTCATTAATCACATGTGATTGATATAATAACTATAATTGTTCAACTTGTATCCCCCTCCACCCCATAAGAGCATTTAAAACATTTCAAAGGTTAATTTAGGCATATGAACTCACCTGTAGTGAGTGGTTCTGAAGAAAATGTTGGATCAGTTGCTAAGTGCTAAGTGTTGACTTGAGTACACACGCGAATCCTACTTAGCATATATGGACACATATATGAATATAATTAGCATTACGAACCACTAAATATTGAATTTGGGACCACCTTAGGGACTAGTAAACACTTATATTGAAGTATTGCAACCATATATGATTTTACGAAGGGTTGTAAGGCTATTCAAGAGAGTGTATGGCCAAAATACACACTATATGTGTGTGTGCGACCATTTGTGCGGCCAGGTGTGCTGCCAACACGTGTGTGCTGCCATGTGTGCGGCCAGAAGGCATGTGCTGCCAGAACATATGGTGTTCTTGGTGAAAGATGTTACCTTTCCGGATGATACTTGAGAGCATTTTCGGGTCCTAGCTTTGTAGAAGTGTAAGAAATGATCAAAATGACCAAGGATAGTATATATATATATATATATATATATATATATATATATATATATATATATATATATATATATATATATATATATGAGGGTGTGTGTGGTTGGCCTGTGTGCGGCTGGCTGGCCGTACACTCTAGTGTGTGGCCGCACACACCTAGGTTGGTGTGTTTGGCCCGATTTTTCAATGCTACAACCAATCTAACCCATCCTCCGACACGTATCTCAATTATACTAAGCTTTAAGCACTCTTTTAGACAAAAACTTTATCATAAAATAGCAAAACGAAGCTAAGTTTGATAAAAATGAAGAATGTAAGCTAGAAATTTTGGGTTGTCACAAGAAGGGGTGGAAGGAGGGATGCAGGAAGATAATAGGTTTAGATGGTTGTTTCCTTAAAGGGATATGCAAAGGGGAGTTATTATGTGTTGTTAGAAGGGATGAAAACATTGAGATTTATCCTATTGCATGTGTAGTAGTATGTGTGGAGAATAAGGAAAATTGGAGGTGGTTTTTGGATTTACTCATTGATGAATTGGGACTTAACTTGGGCTATGGATACAGTGTAATATCGGATCAACACAAGGTAATTTAATTGTTTGTAATTAATTTTCCTATCCATTTGCATCCTTATTCAGTATATTTAGAATTTGTTAACATGGTTTGATTGAGGCTGTGAAAGAACTCCTTCCATATGTAAAGCATAGGCAGTGTGGCAAGCATATTAGCCAAAACCTTAGGAAAAGGTATAGTGGTGTCCAATATGAAAGCATATTTTGGAAGGCATGTAAAGCAACAACAAAGGTAGATTTTAAGGTTGCTACAAAAGAGCTGGAAGTGCTAGACCCAAGTGCTCATCAGTATCTGATGGACAAAGACCCCAAAACATGGTCAAGGGCCTACTTCCAACCAAGAAGATGTTGTGATGCTGTGGAGAATGGAATGTTAGAAAGTTTTAATGTTTTGATTGTTAATGCTAGGAAGAAACCAATTATCACCATGCTAGAGGAGTTGAGGATGTATATGATGGAGAGGGTGTTCAAAAAGAAATGCAAAGGTCCAGGATGGGGCAACCAAATTTGTCCAACAATTAGAGAAATAGTGAATGACATTAAGAAGGGTCTAAGACATTACCAAGTCTTACCTAGAGGACTAAATCAGTTTGAAGTAAGAGGAACTACATATTCTTATGAAGTGGATCTTGAAGAAAGAACTTGCTCATGCAGGCTTTGGTAGTTTAATGGAATCGGTTGTGTCCATTCTGTTGCAGCTATTATTTTTATGAATAATGATTTAGAGTCATATGTGGACAAAATATTTAGTAGCATCACTTACAAGAAGGCATACAAGTTTAGCTTAGCACCTATGAATGGAAGAAATTTGTGGCCTGCAACTTATTACACCCCACCTTTACCTCCTATTCGTAGAACTATGACTGAGAGACCTGCAACTAAAAGGAAAAGGGATGCAACAGAAACCCCAAACAATCAAGAAAAAAATCAAAGAAAACTACCCAAACACAAAACAAACGTAAGGAGCAGGTGAAGGTATCCAAGGCTGGGAAAAAAACAAAAATGTAGCCTTTGTAAGATTTAAGGACACAACAAAAGCGCTTGTACTTTAACAAGGCCTCCTAAAACCAAAGCTAGTAGAAAAACAAAATAGGTAAATAAGTATTTAAATGGTCAATCTTTACAATTTCTTTTTAAATTTCTAATAATGTTTCATATTGGTCAATCAGGGTGTAGATGAAACACTCAATGAGGATGATGAAGTTAATCAAGCTAATGCAATGAATGAAGGTGATGAAGTGAATGAGGGTGATCAAGCAACAAATGATGATGGAGGAGCAATAAATAATGGTGGAGAAGCAGCCAATGAGGTGCATGTGCAGCAAGACTATGATGAGGTGGAACTCACTCCTTTGGAGTTTGATTCATCAGTAAACGGAGAACCTAGTCAGGTTCATGTGCAAGAACAGGAGGCTAGAGAAACACCACTTCTAACCCCGTTGAAGAAAATCAGGAGGAAGAAATCTGAAAGGATTATCAAGTTGAAGCTGGGCAAGAAAGTTAGTGGTGCAGGTGCACTTGAGAATTCAGAAGTAAAACCTATTACTCCTAAGACCACAATCAAACAAGAACATGAGGCAGGGTAGACCAGCAGTCCTATGTCCTTTCAACCTACTTATATAACTATATCTGTACAGATACACAAAATAAAAGTTCAAAAGAGTTTAAGTAAAAGTATTTGATAATTAAAGGAGTTTGTAAGACAATTTGAGGTAAAACAGTTTGATAAATAGTTTGAAAAGTAAGAAAACCATTTGCTTGGTAGTCATTAATCACATGTGATTGATATAATAACTATAATTGTTCAACTTGTATCCCCCTCCACCCCATAAGAGCATTTAAAAACATTTCAAAGGTTAATTTAGGCGTATGAACTCACCTGTAGTGAGTGGTTCTGAAGAAAATGTTGGATCAGTTGCTAAGTGCTAAGTGTTGACTTGAGTACACACGCGAATCCTATTTAGCATATATGGACACATATATGAATATAATTAGCATTACGAACCACTAAATATTGAATTTGGGACCACCTTAGGGACTAGTAAACACTTATATTGAAGTATTGCAACCATATATGATTTTACGAAGGGTTATAAGGCTATTCAAGAGAGTGTATGGCCAAAATACACACTATATGTGTGTGTGCGACCATTTGTGCGGCCAGGTGTGCTGCCAACACGTGTGTGCTGCCATGTGTGCGGCCAGAAGGCATGTGCTGCCACAACATATGGTGTTCTTGGTGAAAGATGTTACCTTTCCGGATGATACTTGAGAGGATTTTCGGGTCCTAGCTTTGTAGAAGTGTAAGAAATGATCAAAATGACCAAGGATAGTATATATATGAGGGTGTGTGTGGCTGGAGGGGTGTGTGGTTGGCCTGTGTGCGGCTGGCTGGCCGCACACTCTAGTGTGTGGCCGCACACACCTAGTTTGGTGTGTTTGGCCCGATATTTCGATGCTACAACCAATCTAACCCATCCTCCAACACGTATCTCAATTATACTAAGCTTTAAGCACTCTTTTAGACCAAAACTTTATCATAAAATAGCAAAACAAAGCTAACTTTGATAAAAATGAAGAATGTAAGCTAGAAATTTCAGGTTGTCACAAGAAGGGGTGGAAGGAGGGATGCAGGAAGATAATAGGTTTAGATGGTTGTTTCCTTAAAGGGATATGCAAAGGGGAGTTATTATGTTGTTAGAAGGAATGCAAACATTGAGATTTATCCTATTGCATGGGTAGTAGTATGTGTGGAGAATAAGGAAAATTGGAGGTGGTTTTTGGATTTACTCACTGATGAATTGGGACTTAACTTGGGCTATGGATACAGTGTAATATCGGATCAACACAAGGTAATTTAATTGTTTGTAATTAATTTTCCTATCCATTTGCATCCTTATTCAGTATATTTGGAATTTGTTAACATGGTTTGATTGAGGCTGTGAAAGAACTCCTTCCATATGTAAAGCATAGGCAGTGTGGCAAGCATATTAGCCAAAACCTTAGGAAAAGGTATAGTGGTGTCCAATATGAAAGCATATTCTGGAAGGCATGTAAAGCAACAAAAAAGGTAGATTTTAAGGTTGCCACAAAAGAGCTGGAAGTGCTAGACCCAAGTGCTCATCAGTATCTGATGGACAAAGACCCCAAAACATGGTCAAGGGCCTACTTCCAACCTAGAAGATGTTGTGATGCTGTGGAGAATGGAATGTTAGAAAGTTTTAATGTTTTGATTGTTAATGCTAGGAAGAAACCAATTATCACCATGCTAGAGGAGTTGAGGATGTATATGATGGAGAGGGTGTTCAAAAAGAAATGCAAAGGTCCAGGATGGGGCAACCAAATTTGTCCAACAATTAGAGAAATAGTGAATGACATTAAGAAGGGTCTAAGACATTACTAAGTCTTACCTAGAGGACTAAATCAATTTGAAGTAAGAGGAACTACATATTCTTATGAAGTGGATCTTGAAGAAAGAACTTGCTCATGCAGGCTTTGGTAGCTTAATGGAATCGGTTGTGTCCATTCTGTTGCAGCTATTATTTTTATGAATAAGGATTTAGAGTCATATTTGGACAAAATATTTAGTAGCATCACTTACATGAAGGCATACAAGTTTAGCTTAGCACCTATGAATGGAAGAAATTTGTGGCCTGCAACTGATTACACCCCACCTTTACCTCCTATTCGTAGAACTATGACTGAGAGACCTGTAACTAAAAGGAAAAGGGATGCAACAGAAACCCCAAACCAATCAAGAAAAAAATCAAAGAAAACTACCCAAACACAAAACAAACGTAAGGAGCAGGTGAAGGTATCCAAGGCTGGGAAAAAAACAAAAATGTAGCCTTTGTAAGATTTAAGGACACAACAAAAAGCTTGTACTTTAACAAGGCCTCCTAAAACCAAAGCTAGTAGAAAAACAAAATAGGAAAATAAATATTTAAATGGTTAATCTTTACAATTTCTTTTTAAATTTCTAATAATGTTTCATATTGGTCAATCAGGGTGTAGATGAAACACTCAATGAGGATGATGAAGTTAATCAAGCTAATGCAATGAATGAAGGTGATGAAGTGAATGAGGGTGATCAAGCAACAAATGATGATGGAGGAGCAATAAATAATGGTGGAGAAGCAGCCAATGAGGTGCATGTGCAGCAAGACTATGATGAGGTGGAACTCACTCCTTTGGAGTTTGATTCATCAGTAAACGGAGAACCTAGTCAGGTTCATGTGCAAGAACAGGAGGCTAGAGAAACACCACTTCTAACCTCGTTGAAGAAAATCAGGAGGAAGAAATCTGAAAGGATTATCAAGTTGAAGCTGGGCAAGAAAGTTAGTGGTGCAGGTGCACTTGAGAATTCAGAAGCAAAACCTATTACTCTAGAATAACTTTAAGTGTTGGTTTATGTGATATGGACATGGTATAGAGTGTGAAGTGATGTGTTTTGGTGTATTGTTGTTGTTTTTATGAAACTGCTATTAATTGTGTTAGTTTGTATGAAACTATGTTAGTTTATGTGATGTGTATTTTGTGTTACTTAAATTGATTGTTATGTTGAGCTTTTTGTTGTGTTAATTTGAAGTTGCATGGATGGCAAGGACTTGTCTAGTTAAACTACATGGCAAGGGAATATATTTGCATATATAGATAATTTAAAATTTAAATTTATGATTGATTATGTCCTTATATACCACGTGTGGTCAGTGGTCCATATACCCTTACTAACCCTTACTTTTCCATATATACCCCTGCATAGAACTCTACCATATATACCCCTGCATAGAACTCTAAACACAATGCACTTTTAAATGGACCAAGTGAGTTCCTTATGGCCAACAATATCGTACCTACACTTTAATTTTTAAAAGGAGCACATGCATATTATAAAATTCAGCAAGGTATATCATAACTAGGATCTTTCATATCATTCATTGAATCAACACAAAGTCATTACAATCGCTCCCATGTAATTTCATCCCATTACATCTACATTCCATTACATCTAACATCCCATACACACACTGATCAAACAAGCATTAAACCAAAAACTTGATTATACATTACAACTAGGATCTAACCATGACCATGTACCCATACACCCATGCACCCATACACTTCCCAAAAAAGCAAATAACTTTTAACATCCACCCATACACTTTCCAAAAAACTAGTTGGAATTATATCCCATCAACCATAATAACCTATTTGATCTGCTGCACTTTTCAAGTCCATTTCAACCACATGGCAATGACTACAATTACCATAACAAAGACCCCACACTTCAACCTTCTGTTTTGCTTTATCAACTCCATCAATTATGTCTTAAACACTTACTTATCTTCTTCCATAGCTTTCTGCAACTTAACCAAATTCTTTTGAACCTTCGAAACTTCACTAAACTCTTCTTTCCTTTTTAGCTCAAACCTCATCTTGTGAAGCTTTTGTTTGTAGTAACCCTCCTCCATTTCTTTGTCTTTCGACATAAAGAACTTGCATTTTGGACCTTCAACTGACTGATTAAAAGGGAAAACCATAGTTAGGGTTAGGGTTGCAATTAATGAAAATGTGTACATTTCCAGCTCAAGATAACAAATACGGTGTAAGTAAACAAAAGGAATACTCACCAAAGAGTTTTTGCAGTTCCAAAACCTACGAGCTACATTATCGTTGGTCTAGGCAGTACTTTCCATGCTTGCTGCGTCTTGACAATCACAAGGTGGACAGGGGTCATCATCACGAAGGTTTCCGACACGCATGAGGTTGATTGATCGACTGGAAGATGCAGACATTGTTCTGTTTATATCGATTAAGTGTAGAGTATCGGGAGGGAGGCACTGACCTAATTTGGGGTATCTATGGTTCAATAGAAGGTTCAATTAAGGAAGGTTGCCACGTTAAAGATGACATGGTCATATGCTTGTCCACATAAGCTAATATACGTCAGCGATGACCCTTAAACTAGTAATATTTGTTCCCATTCCTTTAATTAGCCGGTATTTACTAACATTAAGGATCAACTAAGCACAAAAAAGATTTAGTGACTAAATGTGCAAATTGATCAAACATTGATGTACTACAGTGTCAAAAACCCTAAAAAAACCAAGATGGTAAGCTACAAAGAGCTTAGTGAGTAACCCTAACGATAATGAACAAAATAATCATTACATTAGTTATAATCATAATCTAATATAAACTTAATTAAACTATCCAAATGCCTTTCACAGAACCCAATATATACTCATATAGTGTATAATCATATAGATACACCAATCGTTAGGTGTATAGCTACTCGAGAAACGTTTATCAACTAACCATTTTCAACTCCAATGTCATAATTGTCTAACAACTAGACATGGTTTACTACTACTCAATCCACCATTAAATTCAACAATGGATTTATAGCTACACTAACTACTATTCTCTCTAAAAACAACAGTAATGGACTTACAACTCCTCAAGATACTAATTTCACTCTTAAGAATAGCAATGAACTTATATCTACTCAAGCTACCATTAGAATGTTATAAGGTAGTCATTATGTGACTTTTTGGAATCCTCAAGTATTACCACATTATAACATATATAACTCAAGACCTCAATTCTATAATGTCATTAAACTTATTTTACTCATTTGGACATGTCCATCAAATAAATCGTTATAGGACTCACGAAACATGTTGAGTATTGTAACAAGGAACCTATTATGTGACATCAACTTTCTTGTTATTCGATACCACAAGGAACTCATTATGTGGTATATTTTACTCGTTAGATAACATCAGAAGGAACTCGTTATGTGATGTATCTTACACGATAACGATAAACAACTATACACAATCTACGCTTTCTAATATTAGCCTCAAGTTGTCGTCAACTAATAGTATTTCGTCTTTTATAAACCGAAGCCTTTAGTTATTCTCAATTAGTAGTATTTCTCCTACTACCAATCACAACCAATTAGAACATTTAACCCTTCTCAACTAATAGTGTTTTTCATACTATTAGCCACAACTTTTAGTTAAACATACTTATAACTCTCATACTCAACTATATCCGCTCAACTACAATGATTCTTGAATTTCTACTGTAAAAAACATATACAAAAGTTATATTAAACTCGATATGCAACCCAATTATAAATAGTTAGATAAACTATACTCCAAGGTTATTACCAGAAAGTACTCACTATGTGGCTCTCCACACTCATTAAATAAAGTCATAACATATTTGTTACATGGCTCACCAGAAAGTTTAGTAACTATCAACAATGAAACATAATCTTAATTATACTAACACGCTACATCTTAGCTACTATTAGTAAATCATTCTTGTATATAATTTTTCAATTTACTAATAAGGACTAATAATAAGTTTAGCTATATAAGCTTTATCAAGTCATTCCATCAATAGAATTAATCAACTATAAATCTCTATTACGTCATTTTAATATCTTATATACGAATATACTTTTACAAAAGTCAAGTACTTTTCTTATTATCTTGTATAACATTACGTAAGGTAGATATTTATTTACTAAAAAGTTATATCTCACCCATATTGAGTCCTATTTTTGTGAAATTTCTATTTCTGAGATTGTGGTAGCTTATGTAATCTAAAAATGTTAATTTGCTCTCAAAGTGACGCGCCTTTCGTGCACTTATTTTTCAGCCTAAAGGTTGAAGTAATTAAGGACAAAAATTTGAATGTATTGAAATATATAGGGTGGTTACAAGATTGTCCATATTGCATTTTCGCATTTTATCGTTAAATACTAATGGTGGCTTTAACGTATTTCTAGGTTGTCACAGCTAGGTCCATAGATTCAAAGGATGATAAACACAGCCTAAACCAATACCTATGAAGATGCTATATAATTAGCCTTTAATCTGGATGAACCAGTAATCAGGAAGAAACTATTCAACTCAAGAAACAAAAAGAAAGGAGTCAAGGATTTCAGAAGGAAGCGGGAAGAAGGTCCCAAAGGAGAATCAAGTTGATCCTCATGGAAGAAAGGAGACATCAAGAAGTCTCAAGAAAGATCTCCAATTCTACCAAGAGAGTATTTGGGAAACCATCCCAAGTTTGACAATTGCAATTATCACCACCATGGCAATTGTAGGGAACTAGTTTGTAATAGATGCGGTAGAAAATGGCACATCGAAAAGTCTTGCAGAACTAAAAAAGCCAGTGGAGATATAGTTGATACAAAGTATTCAAGGTCAATAATTTAATAAAGAGATATTATAATTACCTTATATATAGATATATGTAATGGTTAAGATATTAAGTAAAAGGACTAGCAATCCTTGAAATGTATACCTTGAAAAGAATGTTATATATATATATATATATATATATATATATATATATATATATATATTAATGGTAGATATTTATTTACTATAAAATTCATATCTCACCTATACTAAGTCGGATTTTCGTAAAATTATTTTTGAGATTGCAGTAGCTTAATTAATCTAAGAGTCAGATTTTCGTAAAATTATTTTTGAGATTGTGGTAGCTTAATTAATCTAAAAATGTTAACCTGCTCCCAAAGTGACACGACTTTTAGTGCATTTATTTTATAGTCTAAAGATTGACGTAATTAAGGAAGAAAAATTGAATATATTGAAATATATTTGGTGGTTACAGGATTACTTTTAGTAGATTTTTTTTTTGCGTTTTATTGTTAAATTCTAACGGAGGTTAATGACATATTTCTAGGTTGTCACATCCTCCCCCCGTTAAAGGAAATTTTGTATTGAAATTAAGTTTGTAGTCAGGGTGTTTTCAAACAAGTGGTAATACTTTATTTTCATTTGTTCTTCATGTTCCCATGTGTACTCCGGTCCTCGCTTAGAATATCATAGTACAATGACTATAGGAATACGACTTTGTTTAAGTCTCCTGACTTCGCGATCCATGATCTCGATTGGCTCTTTGATGAAGTTGAGTTTCGTGTCAATCTAGAGTTCTTCGAGAAGTATAACTAGAATGTACTCAGAGAGACTTTTTGTTAGGTTCAATACATGGAAAACATTGTGTAACTGTTAGTGTGGAAAGTCACGCTTGGATGTAATTTGTGTTTACCCTCTTGTATTGTGTAATGAGTTGTCTTTCCTATAAATAGGAAGTGAGTGACACTCATTTATGTAATGTTCATTTGGAGAGTTAGACTAGAGAGAGAATTGTACCAGACCCACCTTGTATTTTGATTTATGATTTAATGAGAGCTTAAACCAGATTTATTTACTCCATGCATTCATGATTTTTACAATGATTCACTAGATCTTATCAGTTTCTCATATATCATCATAATCAACACCACCACAATTGGTATCAGAATGGGTGTTCTTGATTTGATTAAGAATTGATCCATGATGACATTCTTGATTTGGTGATTGTTCATTGTGTTTTGATTTTCATGTTTTAGAGACTTTTTGGATTCTAGAAATCGAATTGTTCCTTGATTCAATTCAAAATTCAATTTTCTTCACTAGAATTCAAGTGATTTTTTCTTTCTCTCTCTAGAAACCCATTCAAAATCACTTTCTTTCTCTAAAAACCCAAGATCTTATTGACTAATTCGAAACCGAAGAACCAACTTGTGAATTGTGGTATGTATTGGAAGAAAGAAAATATAAATATTCATACAATATTAAAGAACTTCTCTATTCTTTGGATGTTGGATCAATCAAAATTTATTAAATTCTTTCTTGTGATGAAAAAGATGAATTTGGAAAGATGATTGTATATAAAATTGGTCATGAAAAGAGTAAAAGTTTGCTTGATCATTTGGTTGCAACTTATCATGAAAGAGGAAGGAGAAAGGAAGAAGATAAAATCATTTAAGGAATTCGTATTGATGCTCCGAAAAGCGGATTCAGTGTTCTTCAATTTTACCCGGATGTTCATGAAGATCATAAGGATGTTCTTGAAGAAGTTCATCATGTTCTTGATGTTCTTGAAGTTCATGATAAGAAGATTCAAGTTTATTTTCAAGAAGATGAAAAAGTTTTTTGCTCGATTGGAGTTCAAACCGATGATATTTTGGGGTATTGTGATTCGTTTGAAGGAATGATTCCTTATCGAAAACCAACAATCCAAGAAATTCACAAATATCAAGCTCCAAAAGATATGACCCAAAATTGTCAAGTTGAAGTTGTGGAAAGTGGGTTTGTTCATGAATTCAAATCTTCAAGATGCAAGAAGATGAAAAAGAAAAAGAAGAAGAAAATCAAACGTAAGAACAAGCAGGTTTATTCACAAAAATTGTCAAATGTTGTTGTGAAGCCGAAATCCATGAAACAAATTTGTGTTCCAAAGCAACAATCTCCAAGTGTTGCATTGAATTTTAAATCAAAACCAAAAAGTGTTGATGGTTCTTATGACGATGTTCTTAGATCGTTGAGGAACACGAGGAACGAGTTGTACAACATGCATCGTGGGTGGTACAATGTTAAAATAGGAGATTTTCTTGTTCCAACAAAAGAACCAAGATCTTCAAATTTTGATTCGTTGGTTGTAAATGGAACTCAGATCATCAAAAACTATCTCAAATTCTTAAATGGATTTCAAAATGTTCATTATTTCAATTCATGATTTGTGTTTTTCATTTTTGATCGCTTTGTCTCATTGGATCAAATCCGTTTTTACCCTTTGTTGATCCAATCAATTTTTGTTTAGATCAAATCACAAAAATCAAAATCATATTCTATCATTTTTTTCGAAATTCACTGTTCATGTTATCCAAAATTGAGTTCAATCACATTTCCATTCGTTAATTTGA